CAGTGACGCCACACAACTATGACTGATGCTAAACAGCTGCGAAGAAGACACTGTGCAAAGCCTGAAGATTGCGTGGGTGAAAATTGATTTAAATTTTGAAATAAAAAAATTCTCCCATCCCATCACACAAGCATCCTTGTATTTACATTAGAATGATAATCTGGTCAGCTGTATTTGGAATGCTTCGTCCAACCAAAATATCCAGAAATTATATTTCTGGATATTTTGTGTCCTGTCATAATTTGTGGTGTTCAAGCTTGAAATCAATTATTACTATAGTCTACTGTTGTATTGGTTTTGCACCTACTGCTTTACCACACTATACATGACTCTCACTTCAAAATGCCAACACAGCCGCACTTTTTTATGAGAGTCAAAATGCCTGAACAATGCTGGCTGAGAGACTTCTTTACTTTTCTGTCCGAAAAAAGAAGATATTAAGATGTAACAGGGGCCAGAAATACATGTAAAAACTAGTGATGGAACCAAACGAATTAGATTAGATCGTATCAGTGTGTGAATGGTACTCTGGTCCGTGTGCATATATCAATTACACGACACATGTAGACCGAAGTACCACAGGATCTTTATCGGCTTCTGATGGGAGCGCTGCATTGTGCCATGAAGTCAAAGTTGACAATCTCATCTTTCCCCCTGCACGTGTTTGTGTCTCGAGTTGACCGAATCCTAATACATCTTCCTCACTGTTGCTTTCATAGGACATCAATCAACCATCAGCAGTCGTGTCAGTGTGGGGCGGGCATGGGGCCACGCAGGATGACGGATTAACCCAAGCGCAGTACACTCCAGCAGCCTAACAAGGAAGGACATTTACATTTTACTGCATTCGTGTCAGGAGATAGCCCACCGGTGAATAATCATAGTGTTGTGAGAGGTGAGCATGCAGCTTCAGATAGGAAAGTGCTGCAGCATTGCTCTCCTCTCTAACCTTGTCATTAATGAAGACAAATAGGCTTTTATGCAGATTACGTTATTACTATGGGACAGGCAGCCCGAGTCATTTGTATCGCATAGGTTAGCCGCACACGTTCTACGCATTACTGAGCTCAACAATCCTTTTTCATTTGAACTGAAAATGTTCTTTGCCTGACCTTTTATTTATGATTTGATAAAATAACAGGTATATTCAGTTGCCAGATGATGTATTTTCAAGTATGCTTACAATAAGTGCTTAGTATGCTTGCAATAAGTGTGTACTCTTGACTGTTGAGAAGACACAGAAACAAACAAAAATCATATACTACAACTAGGGGTGCAACGGTTTGAAAAAATTACGGTTCGGATCGTACCTCGGTTCAGACATGGCTTATGTGGACTCGGCACCTGCAGGAGGATCAGTGAGGGGCTGGTGCTCTGTGTACTGGGTGCAGCTCTGACTGCCACCCCCCTGACCTAATGGATGGATGGCAATGGATGGATGGATGGAAGGCATATTCCATCCATCCATCCAATTATGTCTTTTTAACATGCAGATGGAAATTAGCCTATAAGGCTATAATCTGGCATATTATTTCATTAATATGCTTGGACCTCCTTTTAAACCCAAATAAAAAAAATAATAATAATAATAAATAAAAAGGCACTTTATGAGGGTATTTACCCTCATATATTAAACCACCTTCCTGATTCTCCCAAGGAGGCGGTCCATTCTGGGCCCAGTCCTTCCTCATTCACTGCATTTATTTAATTTTTAGCATTATCAATTGTGACTGGGATATTAGTACTGGACCTTTGTCTTCCATTCCTCCGCTGCTTGTGTCAGTTCCTGCGCTGTGTGACTGTCGTAGAGGGGGCGTGTCTGCAGCGCCAGAATTCTCATCTCCCAGTCTGCAGCTAGATCCATGGTCTGCAGTGATGAAGTGAGCGGCTATCTAACATAGCTCTTCGTTCCGCGTCAGTCGTGAGCGCAGCTGAGGATGCGCGGGAGAGTTGACTTTAGCCCGGTCTGACTGTGCGTAAAGGAGCTGTTAAATGCCGCGGCAAAAAGCGGTCGTTGAGACGCTTTTTTCCACTCATGTCTTTCTTGTGCCACAGTGCTTACACACGTGACAGTTTTGTTGACTCTTTAATCATCAGTATAGAGATATCTCACGTGACGTCACGATGCCTCGAACTCGCGGGGCATCCGCCATACTGGAGGACAAGCAAACGCTGTATGATAGTGGCGTGCACCCGGGACCGCATAAACATGTTCAACATTTTTGCCGTTTTTGGCTGCAGCAAAAGGAGAGACAGGGAAAATAAGTTGTGTTACCGACTGCCAGCCGTCCTTACTTCACACGGCTCCAAAACAGAAGAAATCTCAAAGAAACGAGAGAGAAATGGCACAACCATACGCAACAACAAAAAACTAATAGCCCCCAGAGCGCCCGAATATGCTCGGATCATTTCATTTCTGCTAAGTGAAATCAATTTGATGGCGGATTTAGTGTTATTCCAAAACAAACAGAAGTTTAAGGATAAAACATATCTGTCTGACTGCAACGTGGGGTTGCTCCATAGACTGTAGCTTAGCTTGTAGCATAGACTGTTATATATTTGGTCTCACACAGGACCTCACCCGGTTCACAGGGTATCTGACTTACCGAAGGCCAGCAGACATGTGAACGACTGAGCCGTGCTCGAGGGTGCCCCGTACTAGTATTTATTAATAAAATATACGGCTCCTCACAGTAGACGCAGAAAGCTCCATTGATTTGAATGTAATCTCATTATTTCCACTGCAGTGTAGCCACACATAGATCAATGGTGTAACAATAAACACATTAAATGTTAATCGGAGAATACATTATACATATACATTCTTAATACACGTGCACAGAGGTTTTCAGAATTTTCTGTTCACGTTTTCATGAAAAAACACTGTTTTAATGCGACAATATGCGACCGCGGTAAACCTGGATGTAACGAATACATTTTAGGATGCATTTTCAGAGGATCTGATTCATGAATTTAGGTTGAGTATATATTTGGGTCACTAACTGCAGAAGTTTCAAATTCTCTGTTCAGTTTTCATGTAGTTCGAGAGAGTTCTAGTTTTGAACGTCCAGTTATAGATAGCTAGCAGGGCTGTTACTCGCCGAGGTTGTCCTCCAGTATGGCTGCCGTGGCTGCTAGTCACGTGACCGTAGGATCCCTCTATAGTTGACAGTGAAGCCAAAATGCTTTCATACTGGGGATTTAAATGACGCAGGCTTCTCTGTTCCTCTGCTCGGAATGACCGCGCTGTGTGTGGACTGAACAACATTTTTTTTTTTTTAATCAAACCGCGGATCACGTCTGTACCGACCCGAAGACGTTGAACCGAACGGATCACGGATCAGTGATGAACCGTTGCACCTCTAACTACAATATATAATATTATAATAATACAAATATCTGACTTTTCATCTTAATCATGCCTTTTATATTGAAAGCCTTGATACATTATAGTCATGATAGTCTTGATAGTGGAGGCTCACCCAGCCCTAGGTTAGACTGATAGCACAAAGAGACCCTCTAACTCAAATGATCAAGTGACCCACATTTAACCAAAAATGTATGATGTAAAAACAAACTCAGTTTCTTTTTTACAAACCAAATAAGTCAATATGAACATAATACAGAAGATGTGCAGCCTGAGACCTGAGTCCAATAACAAAATCTCCAGAGCAAACATTTGCAGATGTCTCCTGCTCTGACTTACAGCTACTCCATGACCTTCGTATGTCAGTTTAACATTTAATCACCTTCAAAACAACTCTCCACTGGTGCAGGACATGCGATACCAAAGGATTTCACATTTAGGGAGTTAGAAGAGGAACTAAACACAGAAAGTGGCAGAGAGGAGTGGGGTTTAAAGCAGAGTCTGCGTTGATGAGAGTATGGACTTCAGGGGATGTCAGCAGTCTCAAGTGTTCAAAGTAGTAATCACCCATAACATTCCGGTTTATTTACAGTTAAAGTAGATGACCTGACGGCATATTAATAAAGCTTATACATACATAAATAGTATGCTTTTTAAATGTGCATTTTTTTTTAATAATTCTGTATGTACTTATTTCTACAAAAGTTTGAAATAATTATGATTTCAATTATGAGCAATGACAGAATATGACTTTTGCCAATATCAAGAAACTCAAATTATTTCCAACCACATTTTGTTATCATCTGACATCTGACCAGGCCACACAACTTCAGTATATGTCTTCAAAACCAAATATAGTAGTCTTGAACATTGTTTAAGTTGATAAAGCAATCTAATTTCTGGATCTAGACAACACAGAAAGAATGAAACGCTTCAATTGCTCCACTTTTCAGGGAGCTTTTTGATTTGAGAAAATGGCAAATAAAAGTCTTGTGAGTGATGTCGGTAAAGTGTGAAAGAAGGTTCTGTTTGTGAAGAAGCCTCTAAACAAACTTCTGAGAGCCGCTCGTAAAAAAAACGATAATGTGGCCGAGAAGCACCGTGATTAGAAATGCAACACAGCCCTGCATAAAAAATAGTGCGACTTGATGAGAACTCCAGCACACAAACAAGAGGCGCTGTGCGGAATAATGAGGGAAGGACAGCACGAGAAAGCAAGGGGGAAATAAATGATGCCACAGTGTTACTTTATTCTCACAACTTCACAGAGATATTTGGTCCACAGATCTGCAGTGCAGTTTTTAAAAAGATTTACTTTTCAGGTTTAAAGACTTTGCTTGGGTTATAAATTCTCCTTTCTTATGAATTTGTATGCAGCACAGACTTCGCCTTTGTCCAAATCCAGATTATAATTTTTCTTGCAGCAGCGTTTGGGGAGTTGATTATAAAACATTATCGTTTCTACCCAAGAAATGTGCACGTGTCTATCCAAGCTGTGCTCCACTTACTTAAACATCATGTACATTACTGTTTCACATTAAATGAAGAGAAACGCATGTTAAGAGGAGAAAGAAGATGTTAGTTTAACAGTTGAGTAGAGACGAGAGTTAGTTCCCAGCCCCTGCGGTGGTACCTGTGATGGCTTTAGAGGTGCAGTCCGTTCTTCTGTGAGGATCTGATCCAGTGCCACTTACTGAGCCCTCGTAGCTAATGCAGTCATAACAAAGCAGAGCTGTTCGAGAATAAAAACAGAACAAAGTGCATATAAAGATAAAGGGCCGAAGAGCCTGATTCATGTCTTAAGTGGGCGGTTTTTGCACTGCACTTTTTGATGTAAACCATAAGTATCTGAGAACAGCCCTGTTTGTTGCTATGGCTGCATGTATCTAAGGATTACATCATGCACCTGCGGACACCAAGCATGCACCCTGTTATAGCAGCTGGATCAGGACAGACTGGGCACCTGGAAAAGAATATGTAGCTGGTGTTTTAACAGAGGAGAAAGAGAAGGAGATAGATCATGTGAGCAACAGCCGCAGAATATTCAAACCTGCCAGACACCATAATCGCATTTATTAAAGTCGGAAAAAAACACAGTGTGAGTTAGTTAGGGAGAAGGGAGAAGATATCAGGTTTAATTGTGTTAAAGCTAGGAATCAACATACAGCAGCTCTGTCTCCGAGGCACACATCCCAAAGACCAGATTACAGGAAGAGGTTTGCAGACTGTCTCAGCTAGACATTACTATGCAATACATTACACAATATGGAAAGATACGGTCCCGTTATACTGATACATATGGTGCAAAATAATAAGCCCAAATTATTTAAAGGAGACATATTATACAAATGTATGTATTAGCTTATATCATGTTAAAGCATTTCTCCCACATCAAAAACTGATTTAGAATTGTTTTTAGATTGTAATAGTATGATGTCATTGTACCACTATGACATCACACTCAATTTTCAACCTTTTCAAACAATTGCTAATATATTTGTTTCGCCAAATTATGTCATTGTACCGTGACATCATGCTCAAATTTCTATTGAACAAAATATTTGCTTATAAATTTGTTTTGGTAATTTCTTAAATGAAATGGCGGTCTTTAAAATCATATGGCTTTGTTTGCAGCTGGTAATTTCTAATTAGGAAACAAACCAAATGCACCTCCTCCCTGAGGTGGTGCATTTTTTTACCTTCATACTTGTTTCACCAAATGTTTTCCATTAATACTATCAAGATATTTCACAAATTAAAACATCAAATTACAAATATTATAATTGTATAATTCATATTAATTCTTCCTTAATGCACTAAACCTGTATATACACAGTAATGAAACCAGCCCTGAACTGAAAACCTACCTGCAAAGGCTTTTGAAATCCTCTCCTTCTTCCACTCCCAGGGCTGGTCGTACTCCTCAGGCGGCCGCTCGTCATCCTGGGGCAGACGGCTCTCTCGGGGTAACCGTTCGGGGTCGGAGTCGCCCCCATTCTCCGTGGGCTCGTAGGGCGTGTCGTACAGGGGGGGCTGCCTCACGGAGCCATCTTTAGGCCCTCGCCCACCAGATCGGATCTCTACAAATGCAAAGAAAAGATGGGTTTAAAGCTCATCAACTCATTTTCATGGATCAAGTGAAAGTCTGTTTAACTATTAATCCCATTGACACATTTCAAAATAGCGGCATGAACATTTTAACATTTTCTTATTAACAATCCACTATAAAAGTGACTTATTTAACACACAACAAAGCTTCTATTGTTCCTGTATTGCAAATAATTAAGTAAGAAATTCATCTTTATATAGTGCATTTCATGGACCAGGGTCCTTGGTACTAGAACTACTAACCATCCCCAACCTCTACTATTGTACATGTGTTTAGAGGTAAACCGGAGCACACAGTGGAATACTACGCAAACAGTGGGAGAACATGCAAACAAACTCTTTACACAAAAAGGCCTCCCAGTCTGGCCCAAGAATTGAACCCATGACATTCTTCCTGTGAAGCACGTGCCAGCCATAAATTATAAATAATGAGCCCCAAAAACATCATACCAAAGATTACTATAGTATTATCGTAACAGAACAAGGTATCTTTGGTGAGGAAAGACTGGATATAAAAGAGAAGCTGAGAAAAGCTGGGTATTTAAGCACCTGCGAATGCCCACAGCACTTAACCTTCATGAGTTGGGTACAGGCCGCACTTGTGTCCAGCATTCCCCTGAGAATTATGTACACACTGCTAAAACAACAGAGAGAAAAGATAAGTCTCTGCACTGCCTGAACTTTAGAGGGCTTAAAGCGAAATCTTTCATTGCTGCCTATAGGATTTTAATTTCTTTTAGTCAAAAATGGCATGTGACAAAACGGTCAAACTAGCACTCATTTCTCGCAGCTTGTTTCTTGTAAGCGTTCAGCGGGGCTCTGACTTTTAATGAAGCGTCGTGCCCTTGAGAACTCCTCTACAGTGGCCTCCTCCCGCCTCTTCCCCTCTTCCTCAATCTTCCTCCACTTGAATCAAGTTGTTAACAGCCTTCACCCTTTCTCCTGGGCCACATGAAGCTGTTAGCGGCCACCACTGCCACGGAGTAATGCGAAGTGAAGAGAATGAAATATTATGCCACGCTACAGCATAATTGCCTCTTAGCCCAGGGGAGCTCTTGCGGGGGGAAAAATGAGCAATGCATAGGACCTGATCGAGCAAGCGTAGGCTGAGGTGGCTTTTGCATGAGGTTAGCGTGAGGCAAGACCACAGCTATCTCTGAATCAAAGGGTGACCAAGCAGTATAGCATAACATTTGCTTCATCCAAACAGACCAAAGTTAAATGCAAGCGCTGCTATACTTTAGAATTTAGAGCCAACATGCAGAGACGTTGAAAATGGTGTAAAATAGTGAAATGGATAAGACAGTTGGAGTAATATGATGATTTCTTCAAGCCAAAGCAAAGCAAGCATTTTTTCTATAGTTTCCTGTGCATTTCTGTTACACTCAGGTTGAAGCATGCTCAGAAAAATGGGAGGAGACAACTGTGTCCAGGGAATTTACAACCAAGATGCAGTGACAGGGGGATGCGTGTTTACACACACACTTTCAGCTCATCTTCCATTCAGGTCCTTTGACATTTGCTTACGGAGATGGACACACCTATCCCAACAATGGATGTTAACTTCCTGTCCAAATGTGCCACATCAATGTCTTTATTAACGCCTCATCACTCTCAATTCTGTAGCAATGAAATAAACACAAACCATGTAATGTATGTTTTTTTATTTAACCAACCACAGCAATAATCACCTTTTTTGTGAAGCAATGATAATTTACAAGTATATGTAAACATTTGAAAGCAGTCTACTCTAATGCATTGAAGTCAAGGAGGTTCTTGTTTACATGAACCATCCTGTGGGCACATTATCAGGGCAATGCATGGGCAGCCCCAGAGCTCTGGATTAAATCAAAAAACATTAATTGCATTCAACCTGGCAGCCACATCCTGCTACGTGTAAACAACTCCCTGCACACATCCTTATCAGAGATTAAAACAAATGCATTTTCATTTGGCTTAAATAATGCTTCTGCTGCAAGAATGAAATCTCCAACGTTTTTATATGTGCCCTTTTGTTTGGCTTCCGTGGGCCAACAACTACTGAGCCTCAATTAAATGTTGTAAACAGCCGCTGGATCTGGGGATTGCACGATCTCTTGAGTGAGGGATTAAAAGCAATTGACTTTCGACCTGCAGAAAACTGTGCTCACCTAAGGTATTAGAAAGACCCCGATGCTGCACACTTACCATTATTTCACTTTGGATGTTAACAAGGCAAGTTGATGTTTCAATCTCTTTATCTCTCAGCTGAACTGACAAAATAATAAAAACCTATCTCCTCCTATAAACCTAAATTAAATGCAACGTATGAATATCGAACACTATTTCTTGGAAGCACCGTCTCACTGAACGTTTATGAAATAAAAATCACGGTACATTTGACATTTGAGCTTGTGAAGATTGTCTAGACTTCAGATGTTGGGAGTATATATTTTTTCTCATAATGACAATTGTAGTTTGTCACAACAGAAGCAATGTTTTGTGAACAAATCTGAACTATTGATAGATTTTATGACTTAATTTTAGTGTTTTGAAAATAAGTACCTCCACTTCTAAAGGAGAGTGTGCAGTCTCCACCTTTACTGGTCTAATAAAGTAATTATAATTACAATTAACCCTCAAAATATGACATTCTGTCCTTTTACATGTTAGAACAGAGCACCTGCAGTGAGGGGATATGAGAATGAGGAGGGGCCACCCAAAGGTGCAGTGTGTCAGTCGGCGGAAGTGTGAGACAGGATTAGTTTGAAGTGAATGAAGCTGAGACAGTCATCAAGCTGCCAACAGTTCCCCACGGACGTTTCTACAATGGTACAAAGACAAAACAATGCTGTCAGCTTTGTGCACTCGCCTCGCCCTCATTTCATTTGCACGTCTTGCACGGCTTTCCAGAACAAAAGAGGAAAATATTAGTATGCAAACGCTACATTTTATTATTTTAACCCACAGCCGTCTTTCACATCTTATTTGTAATCAGTTTGTGAGCCTGATCTTGATTTAACATGAGGCTTTTGTACACATAAGACCGGTTACATGCTCTCGTCTTTCTCCTCAAAATCCAACGCTCGATGAATTACATTACTTTTATGTGACATTTTCACTATTAGGAGAGACTGTTCATTAAAAAAGTACAATCTCCATGGAAACAAGCAGTTTATGCCAGCAGACCAAATGATAAGTCATATCTGTAATGAGGCTATGAAGACGTTCGCAAAAAGATTTGTTTTTCACTGTATGCAAAACTGAAAGCGGAGATGAAACATTCCAAACTAAATAATTCTACATTTATGAGATGTAATTAAGGAATAGTGACATAGAATGGATTTAGGGAGGAGAGTTGTCACTGACGGAAAGGGACTTACGGAAGTGAAGGCGAGTGGGGACAAAAGATAAATATAGGCAAGGCAAGGCAAGGCAAGTTTATTTATATAGCACAATTCATACACAAGGCAATTCAAAGTGCTGAACAGAACAAGAAAGCATTAAAATCATAAATAATCACAGTACATTAAAAAAAGATAAAAATATAAAATCCCTCAGTTGTATGCACAGCTAAACAGAACTGTTTTCAACCTTGTCTTAAACATTGTCAGAGAGGAGGCCTGTCTCACATCTTCAGGAAGACTGTTCCAGATTTTAGCAGCATGAGTCTGAAAAGCAGCCTCCCCATGTTTAGTTCTGACTCTGGGCACTAACAGGAGTCCAGTCCCTGTGCTCCTCAGAGTCCGGGCTGGTTCATATGGGACTAACATGTCACTAATATAGTTTGGTGCGAGGCCATGGAGAGATTTGTACACAAGCAGAGCTGTTTTAAAGTCTATTCTCTGAGCCACAGGAAGCCAGTGCAGGGACCTGAGGACCGGACTAATGTGGTCGTACTTCCTGGTTCTAGTCAGGACTCGAGCTGCTGCATTTTGAATGTACTGCAGCTGTTTTACAGCCTGTTTGGACAGACCTGTGAGCAGGCCATTGCAGTAGTCTAACCTACTGGAGACAAATGCATGGATAAGAATCTCCAAGTCTGCTTTAGACACTATGTTTTTGATCCTGGCAATGTTTTTTAGATGGTAAAAAGTTGCTGATGTTACTGATTTGATGTGGCTATTAAAATTTAAGTCTGAGTCCAGTATTACCCCTAGATTTCTGACCTTGTTTGAAGGTTTTAGGGAGAGAGACTGTAGGTGACAGATGACGCTCTCTCTTTGTTTCTGGGGACCAAAGACAATCATTTCAGTTTTGTCTGCGTTTAGCTGAAGGAAGTTGTTTTGCATCCACTCACTGATCTGTTGGATACAGTGAAGGAGTGAGTCCACTGGTCCATGTTCTCCTGCAGTCAGTGAGACATAGATCTGAGTGTCGTCTGCATAGTTGTGATAGGACACTTTGTTTCTGCGTATTAACTGACCTAACGGCAGCATGTAGAGATTGAACAGAAGAGGTCCCAGGATCGACCCCTGTGGTACTCCACAGGTCAGGGCCATATGATCTGAGACACAGTCTCCAATCTCCACAAAGTACTTCCTGTCTTCAAGGTAAGACCTAAACCAACTTAGGGCGGTGCCAGCGACTCCAACCCAGTCCTCTAATCTCTGTAAGAGGATCTCATGGTCGACGGTGTCAAAGGCAGCACTCAGATCTAACAAGATTAAGATTGAGACTTTGCCTGCGTCAGTGTTCAGCCGGATATCGTTTGTAACCTTGACAAGAGCAGTCTCAGTGCTGTGGTGGGGTCTAAAGCCGGACTGAAACATATCAAATGAGTTGTTGATTATAAGAAATCTAGTAAGCTGTAGGTAGACAACTTTTTCAAGGACTTTCCCCATAAATGGCAGATTTGAGATGGGACGATAGTTGTTAAGTACCGTAGCATCCAGGCTCCTCTTTTTTAGCAGGGGCCTGATGACTGCAGTTTTCAGGGCCTTTGGGAATATTCCAGAATGAAGGGACATGTTTACTATCTGTGTGAGTGAAG